ACAAGCCTCTTGCCTCACTTTCACTTTCTGGGATGGTAACAACAAAGGGCGTGAGAACCGATGGAAAGAGGACACGCAGCGCCCCGTTGGGAAGAGTGGCCAGCTCCTGATTGCTGCTGAGGACAACAGTCAAGGTTTCCAAGGGCTCAATGGAACCTGTGCTGATGATGAATGTAGAACGGGCCAAGTCTTCGTCAAGGATTAAGTGACCTGGGCAGAAGAAAGAGGAGGTAGTTAGGAAATTTCCTTCAACAGACACATTGGAGAAACCACTAACATGTGTGTCATAGCCTTCACCTATGTATCTCATTGAACTGAACAGAAAACGTAGCGATGGTCAGCCATATTTAGTGGGGACACATGAGAGGACTTTCTTGGTGGTTGCTCCTAGGATGAAGCATTCCCTCCCACTGGAGGCTAGGTTTGCTGATTCCTTCCTTTCCTTCTGCTAACAGGAAAAGCTTTTATGTAGAAAGGCTTAGCTATTAACCAATAACTATGAAAAGATTTTCTAAAGGGGATATTGTACCTTTATTCCAACTGTTATGCTTTGGATCCTAATTTTTATTTAAAACTTGTTTTAAATCCCAATGTAAAAGCTGTTTTATATCCTAATTTAAAACTGCTTTAAAATAGAGCTGCTGTGAACAGGATGTCTTCTTTGTTTTTGTCTGTTTTTATTATAATGTTTTTTATAATCATTCATTTATTTATGTGTTTATTAAAATGTTATTATAATTATTTGTTTTAATCTGTGATCTGCTTTGGGTTCCATGTTTGAAAATTAAATAAAATAGATAACCAGTCATCCATACTTGCTTCCTATATACAATCAAAAACTCCCATGGGGTACAATTACAACGCAGATGGGAAACTAACTGTTCCTCCTTTTATTATCAAACTGAAGTTTTGTGACACTGCATTTATGTTCCAGCTGTTCTGCAGATTATTGGAAAATTCAAGAGGATCCAGTCAGGTAGCATATTTCCTTAGTGATTTGCCTTTGTCATCCTTACAACAACCATGTAGCCCAGAGTAGCCCAGTATCATTTCTCCCCAGAGACTATCCATAGTGGCCTAATGATTGTTTGT